GTTTTTTGTTTTTGTTTTTGGTGCTTTTTTTATTGTTCCAAATTTACTTTTCTATAGTTCATTTTGGATAGTTTCTATTGTTATGCTTTCGGATTTACTTCTGCAACATCTAATCTGCTGGTAATTCTATCCAGTGTATTTTTCATGTTAGAAATTGTAGTTTTCATTTCTAGAAATTTGAGTTCAGTCTTTTTTTGTATCTTAACATTTTGAATATATAGAATATAGCTGTAATAATAGTTTTAATGTCCTTCTCTGCTAATTGTAACAACTGTGTCAGTTCTTGATTATTTTCCTCATTATGAGTTGTATTTTTCTGCCTCTTTGCATGCCTGATAATCTTAGATTGGATGCCCAATATTACAAATTTTACCTTGTTAGTTGCTGGGTCTTTCTATTCCTGTAAATTTTCCTGAGCTTTGTTTTGGTATCCAGTTAAGTTACTTTGAGGACTTGCTTTTTAGTTTGTTAAATGGGTCCAGAGCAGTGCTCAGTCTAGGACTTAGTATTATTTCCCACTACTGAGGTAAGATCTGAATACTCTATGTAAATCCGTATGAATTATCAGTTTTTCAAGTTTGACTGGTGGGAATAAGCATTATTCCTAGTGCTCTGTAAACACTAGGCACTGTTCTCTCTTATTATTTTGGATGGTTCTTTCTGTCACCTTATGTCATTTCTTTGTATACATGTACCAATCAGTACTCTGCTGTGTACTAGGAAACCCTCTGTTCGTTTCTGGAGTTCTCTCTCTGAGCAGCTCTCTCCTTTGTGGTATTCTGTCCTGTGAACCTGGTTGCCTTTGTCTCCCTGTACTCTTAGCTCTATCTCCTCAGGTCAGGGAGTCCACCAGGCTCCACTTTTAATTCCCTTGCCCTGTGCCACTGCCTGGAAACTTTCAAGGCAGTAATCTTGACAGTTATAGGGCTCACTTTGTTTGCTATCTGTCAGGAACCACTGTCTTTTCATTGCTTGATGTCCAGTGTCTTGAAAGCCATTATTTTTTGTATTTTGTTTGGGTTACTTCCTTGTACACTTTAAAAAAATTTTGGGTTGTTTAAGGTGAGAGGGCAAATCCAGTTCCTGTAATTCTGTTTTGGCCAGAAGCAGAAGTCCTGTCTACTTGTAGTTTTAACCTGAGAAGGCTCTTGTGCTACTAGGATTCTAACAGAAAAATGCTTTTAATAGTGGCCATTGCTCATTTCTCTTTGAGAGGCCTTGTATACAGATGAACTGTAGTATAAACTCAAATTGACCAGCAGGAATTTTTGAAGATATTCTTGGGGTATTAAACTGATTTCCTCACTCCCTTGTTGGGTGGATTTCTTTTTCTTTTTCTTTTTTTAATTTTAATTTATTTTATTTATTGAATCAAAAGTGATTATACATATTTTGGGGGTTCAACATTGAGATATGTTGATCAAATCAGTACTACTAGCATATATATTGTTATAAGTCATAATTATTCTTTATGTCCCTTGTCCAGTCTCTCCCCATCTCCCACTCCCTCCCCCATCCCCGCTTGGTGGATTTCTTGAGTTATTTGGATCTAGAAGCTAATTTTAAATTAAAATTTTATGAAATTCCCAACCATGTTAAAATTTTATTCTCAGAATTAAGAAAAAGAAAGAGCAACAACGTTATGCTGAAGAGCAGAGGATCCTAAAAACGAACTTTAATGAAGAACCATATTCAGGGGAGAAGATGAGTGACATGTTAGCCCAGTTACAACTTGAAGAAATAAAAACAGCCAGAGAAAAACAGCAACAGAGAGAAAAGGAATACCTAAGGTAGTATGAAAAGTACTGCATGAAATTCTGGCTCTTGAGGAGACTTAGTAGGACGTTGGTGTTCTCAATTTCCTTAAAAGAGAATTTACTATGTCTCCTCTTTTCCTTATTTACGGGTACATAACTTTACTAAATTTCTTTTTTCTTATGGACAAGGGGAGGTCAAACTATTTTATTGAGGGGCTTGGAGAGGGAGTAGAGTGCTGGAGGGGACAATGAAATTGATGTCCCAGGCTGGGTCAGCATCTCCTCTGCCTCACAGTCCCCGAAAAAGCTTCATCAAATATGTTGATTGCTGTATTAGTCTGTTTATGTTGCTTATAACAAAATGCCTGAAACTGGGTGATTTATAAAGAAAAACAAAATTTATTGCTTACGTTTTCTGAGGCTGGGAAGTCCAGATTCCATCTGGTGGTAGTGACAGTGACCCAGTGGTCTCACATTGCAAGATGGTATAAGCAGAGAGAGCAGAGAGAGAGAGAGACTCTCCTCTCCTTTTAAAGCTCTCAGAACCATGCCCCTGACCACCATTTTTAGTCCATTCACTACTGCATGGTCCTACAATCCAATTACCTTTTCAAGGCTCCACCTTTCAACTACCGTAATAGGATTTTCCACCCTCTTAACAGCCACAGTGGAGGCTAAGTTTCTAATACCTAAAACTTGGGGGACACAAATTTAGTTTCAGGGAGTTTTGGGGGGACATAATTCACTACAATTGCCTGATACCTCTTGGGAATAGCACTATATTTTTCCAAGTGCTATTTCCCAGTACAAACAGGAAGAATTGAGGCTGAGATATGAAATAGTTTTAACAGTTAAAGCTGGTTGTAAAATCAGGATGCATGCTCACTCTCTTCCTAGCAGTTTACTTTGCCTGATTATACTGTATTTTTATAGATATGTAGAAGCTTTACGAGCTCAGATCCAGGAGAAGATGCAGCTATATAATATTACTTTACCTCCACTATGCTGTTGTGGTCCTGATTTTTGGGATGCTCATCCCAATACCTGTGCCAACAATTGTATTTTCTATAAAAACCACAGAGGTAAGTTTCTTGAATAAATATTTGGGGCTTAATGGCAATTAAAATAAAATAAAACAAAAATAGTGATAATAGTAACTTAGCATTTATTGAGTGCTTAATATCTATTAGAGACTGTTATAACCCCTTTACAAAACAACCGTGTAAGGCAATGAAAATAATTACAGGGAGTTATATTTCTCTTTGAGATCTGTTATCTTCTTGTCCCCATCTATGCTGGGGAAATATTTCCAGCTCATTCCACTGTAGGGGGAACTTGGGTTCCAGGTCCTCCTCTAATTGAAGACTATTAGAATTTGCCTTCTGTGGCCATCTAAGTTAGGACTCTGTCCCGTTGAATTCCCTGTTATCCAAATACTTTAATGATATCTAGCACAGACTTATTATCATATATATCCACATTAGACTGCCAGTTCTGCCAGGGGACACTGAGGAAAATGAGGAGTGGTATATACTCTGTTAGGAGTCCCAGCTAGAGAAAATGGAGTCTTTCCTATTGTCACTAATGTTTCTGTTTCCTGTCTGTCCTTGAATATATCGTTTTATAGAGTTTAGAGGTTATGTATGCCTCATGTACACACTGACAGTACTGCCAGTATTTATATTCCTAGTGCCCCATCTGTGCTATATGAGTTTATCAGTCCTATGTGTTATAATTTTTAAAACACAGATCTTATTATGCTATTCCCCTATTATAGTACAAAATACTATAGGGTTCCCCATTATAGTACAAAATACATGGCATGTTTAGCATATTTTCTCTCTGGTGTTATGCCACACTCTAGCCATATTAAACTTGATATTCCCAGTACATTCCGTATTTTTTTATACCTTTTGCACCTCACACTCTCAGTTCTGTGACTATGATCCCTTCTTTCCTTTACCGCATTAATTCTTTGAGATCCATCTTAAATGTTACCACTTCTGGAAATCTTTTCCATCCTCTCCTAGATAGTTATTTATTCGTTCCCAACATCATTCTGTGATGACATTTTGCATATGCCCCGGGTTTGAAAATATTACACTGCAATTTAATTATTTTCGTACCCATACTCTCCATTATCTTTCCTGTCCCCACAGAGTGTTTATCATGCAGTAAGTGCTCAATAAATATTAATTCAAAAGACAGTTGAAGTTAATACCTATGAGATTCTCGGTACATAAGCAGTACTAATAGGAAATAGGGTGGGAGAGTTGTTTAGAATTTGACTCTGTTCATCACTGTGCAAACCTTTCTTTGCAGCATATACTCGGGCACTTCATTCAGTCATCAATTCTTGTGATATCTCTGAGGGGAGTTCAACTCTTCGAAACGCCATTCATAATTTTGCTTCTGCACACAGACGGACCTTGAAAAATCTGTAATTGAAATCTGAACTGGCGGTATTTTGGTCTTCATTTAAAAATCAACCTTGAGATATTATTTAGGAAAAGCTGTTAAAGTATATAAGATACATAATCTGGAAAGAAACACTGCCCCACATAACTGTCTCTATAATTAGATCGCAACCATTGCTTCAATCTCTGCCTTGGGACCAAGATTGAAAGTTGACTTCCAAACTTGCCTCTTCTTTGTTATGAACCATATAGAGTTTATTATTTTAAAAAATGACCAGTCAGACAAGTAAGGTGTCTCTTACTTTGCTCTGTTCAAAAGAGATCATGAGAAATCTTTGAGGTTATGATCATTTATCATCTTTCTAAAACTGTATCTTTGAGTCTTGACAATATCGAAATGTCTTCATAAAATAGAGAAGAGAGGAAATGAGCGTCTGAGCATCACTGGCCATTTATGTTGCCATTAACTTTTCTAGTTGTGTGTAACAATTAGACATGAGATGAATCTGAATCTAATGCACATTTTCTTTTCAAAATTTTCTGCTGTTTTTTTGTTTGTTTTGTTTTTAAGTGTATTGCCTCTTTTCTCATTCAGTGACAGATTTTTAATTGTATAAATTTTTATTGTGAAAAAAGGGGGAATAAACCCTCTATCTTTTGAATATCTTCTATATGAAATAATTGTGAGTGGCATTTCAAAAAGTGAATCTGGAGTCAAAGTGAGTAAAGTCCTGCCTTATTTCCCTGTCTTTAAAAACTTTGGTGAATGGCATGCCTACAGAGCAAGTGAAATAAAAGTTGCCATAGGTGGTATGGATTTGATATGTCTTCACAGTATTTCCTGGTACAAAATATGAAAAGGTTTAATGTTATGAATTAAAGACAGATACTGACAGTTTCTCTTTTTCCTATTTTCTCTAATGTATAGTGTTGAAGAAGCACTTAGGTTATGTCTCAAAAAATGCCTACACACCTAGCCAGGTCATTGGAAATAAGAGTAAAAATTACCTTATTTAACCAGATTAATTACCAGTTTAGTCAAAATCCTTGAAATAATTATGTACTTGATTCAGCCCTTAAAAGTTGTATTTTTTAACAGCTCTATTTAGCTATGATTCACATACCATACACAATTCACCCATTTTAAGTGTACGATTTAATGGTTTTTAGTATATTTACAGGATTTTGCAACCATCACCGCTATCATATTTTAGAACATTTTTATCATTCTAAAAAGAAGCCCTCATAATCCAGCAATTCCACTTCTTGGTATATATCCAAAAGAATTGAAAGTAGAATGTCAAACAGATATTTGCACAACAATGTTCATAGTAGCATTGTTCGTAATAACCAAGAAGCGGAAACAACCCAGTGTCCATCAGTGGATGAATGGATAAACAAAATGTGGTCTGTGCATATAATAGAATGTTATTCAGCCTTAAAAAAGGAAGGAAATTTCTGTTACACACTGCAACATTATGCTAAGTGAAATAAGGCAGTCACGAAAAGACGAATTATGTACGATTCTGTTCATATGAAGTACCTAAAGTAGTCAAATTTACAGAGAAGAAATTAAAGTAGTGGTTGCCTGGAGCTATAGGGGTAGGAGGAAATGGGGAGGAGTTGCTTAATGGATGTAGAGTTTCAGTTTTGTAGGCTGAAAAAGTTTTCTGCTTGTTTTGTTCTACTTTTAGTTTGGATATTTGAAACAGGTAAATCGACTAGTCTGGCATCAAGTTGATAGTACATTGCTGGGATTAGATCTTGCATAGGAGTAGGAAACTTTCAAGTCCAGCCTATGAGTGTTTTTGCATTGTAATTTGGTCATATGTAAACAGTATCTAATGATTTATCATTTTAGTATTAGAGAATGCCGGGATAGCTAGCAAATAGAAAAGAAGAAACCTCAGTCTCCTGACCTTTGTGATAGTATATCATGAATCCTGTTTGAATTAGATTAATGTTCTTTGGAGAGGAGCCTGGAATCTGAGTTTTTCCTGAATTTACATGTTTGTGAAATCAGAGTTGTAAGGACAAATTCTACCAGTTTTTTAGATTAGCAGGGACCTATAAGGAAGATGGGGTCTAAAGTTAAGAACTGAGCCTAAATGACCGGCCCGGTGGCGCACTGCGCTAGTGCGCCGCTTGGGAAGCGCGGCGGCGCTCCCGCCGAGGGTTCGGATCCCACATACAGACCGGTTCCCGCTCACTGGCTGAGCGAGGCACGGGGGCAACGCCGAGGGTTGCGATCCCGTTGCCGGTCCCGGTCCGGTACGGGGGCGACACTGAGGGTTGCGATCCGTTGCCGGACACAGAAAAAGACAAAAAAAATAAAGAACTGAGCCTAAATGAGATATATTTTGATTTTGGGGGTGAGGATGGGGGTTAGGAGGAACAGTATTAAATTTGGGCCTAGAATTTCAAATAAGGTAGATGGCAGGCATTTTGAATGAAAAACAATTGAATAAGAATGAACACTTTCCTAGATAACTGTTTCATTTCTTTACTCACCTCAAATTTCCTATAGGTTTTCTTCATCCTCTCAGTTGGTGACAGTGTTTCCTGTACCACTGAAAAAACAAGCAGTAAAAAGGGAACTTCCACAAGCCCCCACCATCACATCTACCTACCTGCTTGCATCTGTTAATTCCTGTTAATGTGGATGAACTTGTTTGTTCTCCTGTCTTAGACCTACCCTGACTTGTAGCTGGATTCAGTTCCCTCCCACCTACTGAAGGACATTGCCTTAGCATTTCTTCCCCTTCTCTTACCATCGTCAATTTTCCTGATTACTTGAGTACCTCTATCAGTGTATATACCTGTTGTAAATTCTCCCATCTTAAAAAACAACCAACTAAAAAAAAGAAGAGAAAGAAATTACTACCTTTCTTTACCCCACATCTTCCTTCAGCTAACACTAAATTTCTCAGTTTCCCTTTATAACAATATTCCTTGAGTTGTCTATAGTCACTGCTCTTATTCCTCTCCTCACATTCTCTTTTGAATGCATTTTAGTAAGACTTTTTGCCTTTAACTCTCATGAAGGTGTTTTTTTCAAAGTCGCTGATGATTTCCACATTGCTAAATCCAGTGGTTGTTCTCAGACTTCATCTTACTTGACCTTACAGACTTCATCAGAATTAAAAACAATTGATCAATTTTTTCTTTTTGAAGTACTTTATCCCCTGGTTTCCACAACAACAAAGCTTTAGTTTTTCTTCCAGCTTCAACTGGCTATTGCTTCTTAGTTTCCTTTGTTGTTTTTTTCCCCATCTCCAATTTCTTAGTAGAGTATTCCAGGGTTCAGACTTTTTTTCTCTCTTGCTTTTCTCTTGCACGTTTGGTAATCTCTTCTAGTCTCATGGCTTTAAATATCATCTATATATTGATAACTCCCAAATTTATATCTCTGGTTCAGATCTCTCCCCTAAACTCCAGACTCTATAGCTCTAACTGCTTACTTAACATTTCCACATGGTCGATTTTCCTCCAATTTGCTCTTCCCACAGTCTTCCCCATATCAGTTAATAACAATTTCATCTTTCTAGTTACTGAGGCCAAAAACCTTGTAGAAATCATTGATGCCACCTTTTCTCTCTCTCCCATTCTTCCTTACTCCATTAGCAAACTGTGTCACTTCCATCCTCAAAATATATCTGCATTTCACTTCCAGATGCCTGATCCAAACCACTGTCATCTTCTAATAACATGGGTTATTGTTAAGAGTTAGTTCTAAGTAATCTCCCTGCTTGCACCTTGTATATTTTCTCAAGACAGCAGCCAAACTTAACACTTCCGAAAACCAACCTTTTGATCTCCACCCCCTACCCACACCCACAGCAATCAAACCAACTGACAAAAAAATCTGTCCCTTACTGTAGTCTTCCCCATCTCAGTAAATGACAACTGCATCCTCTTTTTGTTCTGGTCAAAAAAGTGTGGAGTCAACCTTCACTCCTGTGTTTCTTATACCACCCATATCTAATCTTTGTTCACTCTTCCTTGAAAATATACTCAAAATACAAGTTTTTTTCAGTACCTGCCCCACTATAATCCTGGTCCAAGTCATCATTATGTCTCACCTGAGTTACTGCAATAGCCTCCAAGTTGGTTTTCTTGCTTCCCTACTTGCCCCCTATAGACTGTTCTTTGCACAGCAGCCAGAGCAGTACTTTCAAAATAAGTAAGATCAGGCTGCTCTTCTGCTCAAAGCCTCCTTTGGCTATTCATTTTGCTCTAGGAAAAGTTGTAGTCCTCACAGTGTCATATAAGGCCCTACAGAATATGATCCCAATTACTTCTGAAGCTCTATCTCTTACTGCTTTCCTCCTTGCTCACTCTGCTCAGCTGCATTACCTTGTTCTTCCTTGGATGTCCCAGGGACACTTCTGTTTCAGGGCTTTTTCATTTGCTATTTTCTCTGCCTGGGGACACTTCTCCCTGAGATAATGTTCAGCTCACCTCCTTAACTCTTAAAAGTCTTTGCTCAAATGCACCTTATGAGAGGGCCTTCCCTGACTGTCCTGTTTTTAAATACAACCTTCCCAACCACGCCCAAGTGCTGTTACTCCCTATCCTCTTTTATGACACTTGTAGCTGTATGACCACTCCCTGCCAGACTGTACACTACATTAGGATAGGGATTTTTGTCTGTTTTTGTTCAGTGCTATATCCCCAGTTCTTAAGGACCTCGGTAAATATTTGTTAGATGAATGAACAAATTTGTCATTAAAAAATTTCAAATATTTCTACATGATTAGTACTGTTACCTAACATTTGTGATATTTACTCAAAAAGGTCATTAGGAATCATTTTGCCTTTTCATTCCCTCATTGCCACTGTGATTTGGGGCAAATAATTTAATTTCTCTGGTAACAGTTTTTCCTTCTGTAAAATAAGAGGGTTTTATATTAAGTGACCTCCATTTCTCTTGTAGCTCTAACGTTCTATGAATTTATTATGAATTTAACCTCACTCTCGGGTTTTTCAATTCATGCACTCTTTATGCTGAGGTGTGGACTAGTGGTAGGTTTTGTGGACCATGATATAAGGGTGAGATAAGTTCATTCCCCTCCACTGTGTCTCCAACACTGATCTTGTCAGAGTAGATGCAAGTTCTGTAGGTCAATGTCGGCAGAACAGAAGGGTATAGAAGAATATTGGCATAAGTCCAGCAAGAGAGGCATAACCTCATTGAAAGCTTAGCTTTGGCTCTATTCCGGAAGGGAGCTTTATTAATTTCCAGAGTCCATGCAGAGAGAAGGAATCATGTATGTAACAGAAGCAATTCCAGGATTATGGTAGTATCAGGATATTTATATACTAGTCTTCCTGTGGTAACTACCATCAAAAAGCACATATGACATGTTTTCCTAAGCAGTCCAACATGAAACAGCTTGCTGCAATGGCTTCGATGTAGTCAACTTCTGTGTTCTGTCCCTTGCATTGTTCCAGTACATTACTCAATTGTCCAGGCCTCACCCTTACCTAAATAGCCCTTTTATGATGTGCAGGAATAAGACTATCAACAACTTTATTGACTACACACTCGGTGCAGAAGCTAAAAACTTGCTTTCATATCTTCTAGCCATTTAAGGGTGACAAAGGAGGTAACTGGTATTATATTTCTGTGTTTATTTACATAGATGATGTTTGGGGAAGCAAAATATTTCCTTTAGTTTCCCTCTAAGTGTAGTGAACATAATTTGCTTTGTGTTCCATCTTGGGCATGTTTTTCATGTTTCTCATATTTAAAAAAGCATTTGGGAGATTGAAAATATTATAGAGGAAGACAAAAGCAAATGTCCTCCTGGCATGCTGGGCCCATTCTGCTGGGCAAAAGACTTTAAATATGTTGATTTAGATTTTTAAAGTTCTCTTAGGGTAGAAGTGAATGAT